AAATTTTTTAAATATGCTACAATTTTTTTAAAAAAAAGGTCTATGGCACTTTACAGAATATAAGTTTACGAAGTCAATCAAACCACAGATGTTTGAAGAATTCTTCAATACCACAAAACCAAAGTTAAACTGAACTAATTGGCACACAGGTTTTAAAGAATCCACAGCAAATTCTTCTAGATCCTATGCAGTGCATGTACATTAAGAAGCAGTTACACTCCGCAGCCCCCTTGTGAAATTACTTAAATTAGCTTTAAGCTGATTTTTTTTTTTCCCCAAAAATATTATTGAAAACTACTGCAGAGGTGGACTTTGGGAACAGCTTTAAACAGCTGTCAAATTTAATGAGTGCACCCTACATCTGAAACCCTCATCCAGAAAAAAAAAATTTTGCAATATATACCATCTTATCACTTGCTAGAAAAACAGAACCCTGAGAAAATAAATTCTGATGATTTTTTTTTTTTCTGTATTTCTTCCCAGCCTGTCTTCTATCTGTGCTATGTGATGAACATGGATATTCTTGCAAGTTAGTTGATTATGTTGTTGCAGAGCAAGTTGATAGTAGACCAGCAACAAGCACAAAAGCTGGTTCTTCTTGGTTACAAATGCAAACAAAAGCAAAACATGCCACTGAAAATACCTCCTTGTACTTAAAAAAACCCCACAATGCACTATTAAAATTTTTAAGCGTTCTGTATCTCACTGCAGAGGTCAGCTAGTAATGTAAATAAAGATTGGTCATCATTTACTTCTAAGCCAAAGCAGTATATGCCCTCTATACCTTTTGGAAGAACTGACCTTATTCTGACTATTCAAGTGCTCAAGCCAAAGCAGCATTTGTCACCCTAATATAGTGTCAAGATTTGTTGGCGGTGGTGACGTGGACATCAGATTGCTACCCACCTAAGAAAACATAAGTGTAAATCTACTTCGTAATTAATTTTTAGCTCATTTATATACTATCCTTACTCCTTCTAGCCCCCCTTTTCCAGTTGCAGCACCCACAAGAGCAGAGTGGAGCTGTTAGCCCAGCCTCTCTGCTGCACACTCCAGCAGAGGGCTCAGGAGGAACGTCAGAAGGACGGTCTGAGGCACCTTCAGCTGTGCTGGACCTGAGGTACAAGCCAAGTGTGTGCCCTTCAGATGGCGTGTTTGGGGGGGGGGGGGGGGCGGCAAAAACATGGAGAGAAACACAAGTGTGGACAGGATGTGCTGGCTGTGATTTTTGTCCTCAGACACCACTTTGTGCTAGTAATTTTGATTTGTTAAAATCTGGCTTTGTGCTGGCAGAAATGGTTCCAGACCATAACTTTTGTGTGTTTAAATTAAACATTTAAAAGAAAAGTTTAAAGTCAAGAAAAGCCTAGTTTTAAACTAGACTATGGTGGACGTGGGTTGCAGGAGCAGGTGAATGTAAGAAGAGGAGGCCAGAATAAAACAATGCCTTTTTAATATGGGCAGTTGACTGTGCGTGTTGCACAGCGGCTCAGAGATCACCTCTGTATATCCAGAGGCCTGAAGGTGCACCGGGCAGGGACACAGGCAGGCTGGGAGCTGAGCCTGGTTTGCTCCACGGATGGGCCAAGCTGAGGCGGCATCCATGCTGCACAGTGGGCACCAGAGGAGTGCTCCAATGCTGTGGCTGCTTGTGCTCGCTGTGCTCGAGATTGGCCCTGGGCTTGTGGTCCTGACTGCTGAACAGGTCTCGTATTGCGAGTGACTTGAGCAGTGTATTGAAATTTGTGATCTGCCTGTACAGTAACAATGATTTTTTAATACCTATAAATAACTAATGGCACACTTTAAGGGACTGACCAGGCATAAGCAAGAATCTCTGCTCCATATTGCACAGTGAAGTAATGGAGAGCAACACTGTCACGTGATGATGTTAAACTACCACAAAATAAGAAGAGGATTCTAAAATTCACTTAGTATTTCATTAGAACTACTTCTCAGATGAATTCTCCCCAATGCTCCTATGGCACAGTTGCATCATCATTCCTTTGTTTTTAAAATACTTTCAGGTTTGTTTTCAGAAGTAGTTCTAGTAAGTGATGCAACACCACAAGTAATACAACCAACTGCCTTTGAGAAAAGAATGTCATTTGTGGCAAGGTCTGTTTTAATTCTGCTGATTTTAGTTGGAAAAGGTCCATAATACATGCAGTTTAAAAAAAAAAAAAAAGGCAAAGATCTTCCCAGTCCTGTAAAATTTGGCAAGACTTCCTGAAAAATTTAAATTTTCTTAAGGACTCATGTGGCTCTTGGTCATGAGACAGAGTGATCTGTAGACTAGGAAAGAGGTTTCACTGGCAAAAAAATGAATAATAGTGTTGAAGTTCAACATGTGATCTGCATTTGCAGGAGAGGTTACAGCCCAGACCAGGCTGTTGGCATTCACAAGGTAATGCCCGGCTGTGCTGTGGGGAGTTGTCATCTGCTTGGGATTTTCAGGAGAGGCTGCAGAAATATTTCTAACAATGGTTATTTCAAACAATTTTATCAAAATCAGGTGAAAGCCAGCATAACAACAGCTTCTCTGCCTAGTCAATGGAAACAAAATCATTTACCTGCTAATTAACAAGTGGCACATACCTTGCACTATCATTTCAAGATAAAAAAAACCTGGCAGGGACTCAACTTTTTAAATGCTTAAAGACTGGTGTAAACTGTGTCATTTCAACTTTGCTCTCTCCAACGTAAACTTACTATCTGAGAAGGCACTGCACTTTAGGTTCAGTATCAAAAAGCACCTCAATGAAAAGTATTGATGAAAACACCAAATCTGGTGGTGTTGAAATATTCACAGGTGAGGGGAGCCCTTGGAAACAAAGCCTAAATAAAATAGGCCTCTTTTGTATAAGAAAAAAAAGTGTGCTAGCTTTTATTATTTTAAACCCAAATTCTTCAAAGTTACCAAGGTGGGTAAGGCAATTCGATCTATCAGAATTTGTCAGTTAAAACAGCATTCCT